GTTTACCGAATTAAGGTAAACTGTTGTAACTTATCTAGAAAATTGGGGAAAAACAAAAAAAGCTAATACCAGAGATAAAAGGCATGGATGCACGGTACAGAACACTGAAGAAAATCCCACACAAATCAGTTGCACAGTAAAGACATTTTGATCACTGGCGGAATCAGGATAACATGCATGCGTCCGACATTTGGACAGTGGTTGGTGGTGAAGTTGGTGCAGATGAAAATGATGTAGTGATGAATAATAACGTAATGCTAGTGGTATTCTTTGTTATGTTGTACTATTCGTTGCCATGGTTATCATGGTGGTGATTATTCGTGGTGATTTGGTGAAGATGGTGTGATGCTATCGTGGAAACATGGTCATAGTGGTGTTTCATCTGTAACGTGAGAATTCTACGTTTTGATTGGGAACTTCCCTACATACATTTTAGGCTGTGCCCGAAACGAGCTTCCAGAGCTAAGGCTTGGTCTTCTTCCAGTGGATTGAAGACCTAGACCTAGCTCAAGACAACAGATTCGGATGCAGCTTTACTCGCCTTTAATACACTGACATGGCTCAGGTGCTTCGCTTTGACGTCATTCGTTTTTAGACACTTCGAGTACATTTGGTCCGTCACTAGACATTAGACCATCAACCCGCATTCTAAGGCAGCCAATAGAGTACTGTACGCTCCTTTTTAGCTTGGGTAAAAAATGTTCATGGTTCACATTCCCGGGGACTCCTAGGCGTAAAAGGTTCCTTCGAGTATGCCATCTAAAAGACTCAAGCACAGTTCAGACAAAAGTGTTGCCCTGGCAACCATGGACGGACAAAAAGTAGAGGGAGAGGACCCCCTAGCACCTTTTTGGCGCGGTTGGCAAATATGCAGAAATCATTATAGTGAATGGTTGTTTTGCGAAGAGTTTTGCAAGCAGCGTGGTTTGGACAACACAGAGACGGCGACGCGATCGACTTGCTAACTTAATTTGTCGGTTCGAAATCAGATTTCAGATATCGCAGTCAGTTTGAATTCAGATAATTCACAGTCTATTCTGGGTTCTATTTGTAATGTAGCCGCATCGGTACTTGCATGCATCTTGTATCATGGACATCGCTATAGGATTTTGTTGGATAGAGCTACTTTTGGGAAGAGGAAAGCACTCATCAGCTAAAAACATTAACACATTAACAGCAGGGGCATAGCCACAAGGGGGCCTGGGGCATGTGGCCCCCTCCCCCAGTTCCCCCTGGTGTCCCCCCCCCAAAAAAAGGATGAATGGATTTTGAACAAGGCTAACAAAAACTTGCCCCAAAACACACAACTGAAAGCTGGTGCCTCCACAAGATGCTGGTGCCCGCCCTGTGCCCCCCCTCACTAGTAAAAACCTAACTATGCCACTGATTAACAGTTAGACAGGTTCAATTTTGTGGTTTTCCTTTAATCCTTTTTTCCATTTTTCATCTTCCCAAGTTTCCAGGGGGAGCAACCAGGTTTCCCCCTAGCCCCTTCCCCTTGCGACACCCATGTACATCGCAGAAGACAATTTATTTACCGTAGACGTGGATGTATGCGCGGCAAAGGCATATTCCCTTGTGTGAGCTCAATACTGTGGCTGCGAAGCAGAGTTAGAAGAAAGATAGATAGGGGAGAGATAACCCATGTTAAAGCGAAATTCTGTGATTGATTTGATCAGGAAATCCAAAAATCAATTCTCTTTGCTCTGTGAAGATAAATTGCTGGCTCTGGTTTGTATTGTCGCTTGGCCAAAACTCGTCCTTAAGAACTATCATTGGAACATTCGGTTTTATAACAGAATAACGAATTAGAAGCCCCTTAAGCATCCAAAACCTAAATAAATGAGCGTTTAACCATTCCTAGCTCTGTGGTTTAACAGTGTACCAGTTACGTTGAATTGATAAAGACCGTGAAATGGGATAGTTGGATACCGACTATCTTTAGACTTTAAGTGCGTTTTCAACAATACCCAGACGTCTTGATCACCAATACAGTCGTTATATACCCACTTCACATGGTAGTTTCGCATCTGCTGGCAATCACAGATCAGTGCTGGCAATGCTCTGACGGCAGTAGAAGACAGCGCCACCCCATGTATGGAACGAGCAGGTTGTTATTTATACCTACTTTCAGAGGTATACCCCAGGACTTCTCCACATAGCTCGTGATGCTCAACCCCCCGGTGCACCTCAGGGGACTAACTAAGAGGGACAGCTACATCGGAGCTGATAAGTGTATTGCATCTTCGTTTTTTAGAAAGTAAAAATTAATGTTACAGTGTTTATAAAGGGTAGCTTAAACAGCTAAAGCTGGTTTTCATTGAGGCCCTGTGTCATTAGATATTCAAATATAAATATGCCAAACATTACTCAGAAGTATTAAGAAGTATGAAAAGTAATTAGAAGTATTAAAAAGTCCAATTAAAACAAAGGTTAAGAACACTATACAGTCATACGAGAGCCATAAATTCTCAGAGTAACGTATAAAACTAAAAGGAATTGTACACTAAGAGCAATAAAAAGACAAAGAGTAATTATATAATTAAAACAGAACATCAGGAAGGAAGATACTGTGAAATAGATCAGAAAATGACAAGTTAAAAAGTGTTGCCTATAAAGGTGAAATTTAAAAATCGATAATGACGAGGCGGTCCTAAGACTTACAGGCCATTTATTCTAAATATGGGCACCACTTAGCTGGAAACCTTGTACTCTGTTTTTACAAGAGGAATTTTTAATGTCATATTTGCGCCTTGTCTTGTTTGCCGATTCCTAAATAAGTCGACATATATAGTTCTCCATGTAACCCGGCACATTGAGTAAACATTTATATACTAAGACAGCTTTCTTATTAAACTCTACCCTCTGCGTAAATATCGAAGGCGTAAGGTTGTGACATCCGATGATTAACCTAGCAGTTCTTTTCACAATTTTATCTATGGCATCTTTGAGTGGGGCTTGATCCTGCTGGCCCCCTCCGTAGGCGCGCCACTGCACTGCCCATTTTAGCTGGAATACTATCAGATATTTGTGAAGCTGATAATGTGGAGGAACCAGCCAGAGGTTGCAATAATGCCACTTGTCTGACACAAACTGAAAACATTCTGCTAACCGATTCAACCGACGTTCTGTTGATAGTATACCAGACTATTGATTCGTAGTTGGACGCTTCATTTCAAATTATTGGATAATTATACCATCTCAGGCTGCAATACCAGCGGTGAGGGCGTAGGCTTAAATTATGAGGGCGCAAGGTGGACTTTTTAAGTACTACCTTCGATTTGCTTTTCAAATTTCCGTCATCCAGAAAATCTGAGGAATTTTTCATCTTACCTAATTTCCTAGTCGTCGTCACAAATCTGTGCCATTGATCGTCTTTACCGTCAACGTCTGTTTAAGGTTAAACTTCACGGTATTCACACATACATTATTCCAATCTTGTTCTCATGAATTTCTATGCAGCTACCCCTGAATGATTTCTGGACATGTTTCCGAGATCTGGAGGGGACAGCAATCGATTATTCAATGAAAGACATTACAAACACTCGACTCCACGATGGTTTGGAAAAACGCGCAACCCGTCTGAAGGTAATGCAAGCCGCATACCGCACACCGTGAGGCAATTTTGTGAAGTGTGGAAGGGGAAGAGCATGACATTTCAGCGCTACCCTATTCTCTCGGGTTCAAGAGCGAGAATTTGTTTAAGAGTTGGAGACTGCAGATGCATTTGGCTTTAGAACCCTTCACTGGCTGTTCTGTAGGCGGACATGTCAAAGGTTCATGCAATGCCAGTGGGGACCTAACAGGTAGGCCTATAATGTCTCGCACACACTCATCATACTTGATCCGTAGTTGAGAGGACCACACCTGTATTGTGAATTATTTATTAAGAGGACCGAACATATTGTGAGAGACCATCAAAGTCCTCACAGCAGCTGTTCCAACACTTTAATTTGCCCAACTATTAAATTCTTCCCTCCAAAAATCCAAATTTTACCCGTCACCAGCTAGAGGGCAGAGTGTATGTCATGAGTTGTGTGGCTTGACGGCCAGTGTGCAGCGTTGTACCAGATCTCCCTTGTACAAGTCGACTCAATTTGACGTTCAAAAGTGCACAGGTGTTCAGAGCAAATTGATGTTTAAAATAAAAGCATGTTCAGCTTTGTATTCTTTGACTTTGAGCCTATGTAGGCCTCCAAACCCGACCTCCAAACTTCCCCCATAATTTACTTATTCCCCTCCGTGAAAAATACTTTTACACCAGTACCCTGAGAACGCTGTTCAGTCCAGAAGGGTCGGTTTCATGTGCAGTTCTGAAAACCTAAATTTGTTTTCCAGAGATCTCTTCTTCATCAGCGTTTACTGCATACTCCAATAATTATAATCACCAAATTGAGAAACATCATGAAATCAGAACCGAAGAAAGTCTTTTATAGGCTCCCGCAACCAGTGTTCAGCTTTATGATACTCTCAATCAAAGGCACATGCTATGCTCTTCTACCAGCCGTACTAACTTAAGTTAGGCTATATACTAGGTAGTTTGAGGTTTTTCCAAAATCGAAAATTCAAGGAGAAAAGTACGTTATGGTGTGATTTCTTTATAGGCAGGTACGTAACCGCTCACATTCTCCGTATTCTCCCCGATTTTCGCAGGCCTTTCAAGAATGGCTGCATGCGCGTTCCTTCGCTGAGATTGCGCAAGGTAGGAACATAGAGTTGGATATAATGGGGAACCAACTGCACAAGCATCCTGGCCCAGCATGCAGTTGGACCAGTCACCAAGTTGAACCTCTTTGGATTTTTATGTAACTTCATTTTTTAGCAATAAAAGCATAACATTGCCACATGGGCCTATGTGGTCAACGTTCGGACAATTAATTCGCAACTTGTAAAACCCAATCTCAGACGAAGCCGTAATTTGGCAAAAGACCTGAGCGCTGCATGGGTACCGGGTACGGGTGCAGCCACAAAAGTGGAATACCGCCCCCTGTCGATTACATGTTCACATTCAAGATGGCGGCCCACATTGACTTCGATGACTCGGCTCCTTTCGAACCTTCTTTGAGGAATATTATCGACCAGACGTCACTAAAATGGGTATTTGTTGGAGGCAAAGGAGGAGTTGGGAAAACTACGTGCAGGTATGGCCAACATGATTAAATTGTTGCCAGAATCTTTTCAAATTTTGTGCGATAAGGTTTTGTCAAGACTGGAAAAGTAGGACAGTCATGACAGGACTAGACCGGACGACCATGTAGACCCGTATTTATAAACAGGGCCCGATGAATACTCCTCCGTCGTATACTGGGCCCTGTCGCGATTCATAGGGATTTCTTTCGAAAAATTTATATCCAGCAGGATAACTAAACATCCGCTTGATTTTATGAGCTGAAATTGCACCGGTTTGTTCACTAAGTTACTGTGTAAACTATCCACTAGGTTGCTAATAATTGCATAAAACTTGCCTTTTCCTTGTTTGGAGGAAAAAATGTTGCTTTTTTGCCGTTTTCCCTCTCCAAATGAATTTAGCCCTACTTGCACAAAACTGATGGCTCTTTCCTAGTTTTGTCACTTTCGTGTCACATCACAGAGAGCAAGCCTCGCTACCAATGATTTGCCGCCAACAGTTTGTGACTGGACAGGGAACCAGCCAAGGGCATTGCGTATTAGCTGCGACACAAAACAGTTGTAATTTTCTTTGAGTACTTAGATTGACAGGTACTCTTGCAGATCTGAAGGAGATTCGTAGGTGCTGAAGTCTGGGTGCAAACTAGACAGGCTCTCGTATAGGGTACCATTACTTAACCATACAAAGGAGTCTGTAAAAAGTCAGCCCAAAATTCGCACTGAGTGGGAAAACAGCAAAAAAAGGCAAAATTTTTTTCCTCTAAATGAGGAAAAGGTGAGTTTTCTACAATTAGCAACCTAGTAGATAGTTTACACCGTAAGTAGTGAACATAACGGTTCAATTTCAGCTCATAAAATCAAACTGATGTTTAGTTATGCCCCTGGATATCCCGGATAAATTTTTCTAAAGAAATCCCTATGAATCAGGACAGAGCCCAGTATACGATGGAAGAGCATTCGTCGGGCCCTGTTTACGGGTCTGTGACAGGACTTGAGTCTAGGACAAGTCAAAAGCGACGATATACATGTAGGCCTGGCCCTAATACATGTACCAGTATACAGTACCCCCTCTGTGTCAACCCCCGATTTTGCACACGACAATTTATTGCATGGCTGAATTAGAGTCAGTTAGTGAGGTTGACATGATTTTTGGGGGGGTTAATATTTGCATCCCTCCCGTCATGCCTGTACATGGAACATCCTTGACCGTATAGTTGCCAGGTCCCTTATTTTGCCACTTACTGTGAAAACCAATTAGACTTGGCAATAGGTGGGAAAATTAGGGACCTGGTGACTATATGGTCAAAGACGTTACGCCTACAGGAGTGTACAAGGTTACATGTACGTTACTTCCAGACAAGTGAAAAGTGACAGATTTAACCTTGTATTGTTACTGACTGATTTGTCAGCTGGTAGCCTACATAAAGCCAACAGGAACTTTAGGCTATTTGGATTGCTTGGAGTACAGACTTAGGCCTACTCTGCCATCATAAATCTTTATGCCCTTAATTTTGTACGTCCTTTTAGCATGGTTAGGTGTAATCTGAGGAGATTCTTTACATGGTTTACTTATGTCTATTGAAACAGTAAAATTTGCAAGAATTTTGCTTAACTGGGCTGTAGAATATTTACTAGCATTGTTGCAGTACAAGTGGAAAGATCATTGTCAGCAGCATGACAGCTTGACCAATTACAGCGCTGCTCGTATCTGTTTCTTTTCTGTCCCTCTCACCCTTTAATAAGAGTTGCGCTTGTATTGGTCACTTCTATTTTGCAGTTACAAAATAAATCAAAGAAATTAATGCAGCTCTTAAAAACAAACTGAAAACAACTAAAACATAACAGGTGGATCATAATGCTCAAGTCAACTTGTCTGCTGTTAAGCACATGTATGTAATAATACACGTATGTATTTCACAGTGTTTGGCATGTTTTGTCATTTTTCTGAAATACGGTGAAATTTCCTCGGTTTTTTCTTCATTGATATTGTGTAGTTGCAGTCTTGCCATTCAGCTGTCATTGCATCGTCAATCAGTCCTCATCATCTCTACAGACCCTGCCCACAACATCTCTGATGCCTTTGATCAGAAGTTCTCTAAGGTACCATCCTTGGTCTGCGGTTACAGCAACCTCTTTGCCATGGAGATTGATCCCAACTTGGGCATGAGTGAGCTGCCTGATGACTATTTTGGTGATGACAGTAAGTACACTGTATTGTCATCCGAATTGTATCCCAAGGAAAAAAGGAATCTGTAAAAGGTTGATAACTCCAAACCTGTCTGATCCTTTGAAATACATTTGAAATTGAAGAATTTTGCAGGGTTACAAATGTAACAGTCCAGCCACTGTTTCTATGACAATCCTTACTATTGTGACGCCTCTACTTGGTTGTTTAACATAGTGTTTCATCTTCTTATTTGTGTATTGTTTCAAACTTCCCCTGCAGCCTGGGCAATTGTGATTTCTTACGTGAATTAAAAAAAGTTGGAGCGTATGGAGAACAAATGTGACATTCTTACCATTCTATGGCAATTGGAGAGGGACGAGTTCTCTAGATTTCAGGAGAGGTGTCCTAAGTATTGTGATGCTACAAAGTGTTTGTCGGCAAATGGCAGAGTGTCAAGAATGTCGCCATTTGATTCTATTGGTTGATATGAGTGGATTGAGGAAGATCTTTTACCAGAATAACTTAGCTCAAAATTTAGGATTCCGAAGTAACAGGGGACCTGCAACAGTTCCTTCAAATTGGTTTCACTTTTTTATGCAATGAACTTCTAGCCCATTTCAGCTGTGGTGATATCTTTTTTTTTATATAACAGGTTTTGCCCTTACCCAACGTACCACAACGTAATTGTGGTGATATCTGTCTTCAAACATGTCCTACAGCTTTCCTATTCTATGATCTTTACAGTGGTTTATCAGTTCTCAATTGTTTTGCTATATTGTTGTGTATTTATACATTATTTTCTGGTGTACATATACTGTTTTTTGACAGGTCCTTGGGCTGTTGGTAAACAGTTGATGCAGGAACTCATGGGAGCATTCCCGGGTATCGACGAGGCAGTCAGCTTTGCTGAAGTCATGAAGTAAGTTACCTGTACCTTCATCCTTGGCTCTATTCAATGAATTTGTCTACTCATCTTTATTGAACATTTT